TAACCCAAAAGGCAGGGGCTGGGGGTCCAAATAACCCCACTAAACCCCAAAGGTGAGGGTTGGGGTCCACCAAAAGAAAATAGGCGAAGGGTTGGGGTCCAAAAACCCAAAAAGGTGAAGGTTGGGGTTCAAAACAAACCTAAAAAGTGAAGGTTGGAGGTCCAAAACAAGAAAAGGCAAGAGTTGGGCATCCAAAAAACCCAAAAAGGTGAGGGTTGGGGGTCCAAAGAAACCAAAAGGTGAGGGTTGGGGTCCACCAGAAGAGAAAGGCAAAAGGTTGGGGGTCCAAAACAAACCCCAAAGGGGAGGGCTGGGATCAAAAAAAATCCCAAAAGGTGAGAGTTGGGAGTCCAAAACCAAGAAAAGGTGAGGATTGGGGTCCAAAAAACAAGAAAGGCAAAGGTTTGGGTCCAAAAAAGTCTAGGGTTGGTGCTCACCAAAATAAAAATACCCTAAAGGGCAAGGGTTGAGGGTTCCAAACAAACCCAAAAGGTGAAGGTTGGGGTCCACCAAAACCAAAGGCAAAGGGGTTGGGGTCCAGCTACAATTTGGGGCTCCCTGCAGATTCCAAGCCGGGTTAGGAGAGATCCATCCACACCCTCACCGGCATCAGGGTCCTGAGGTGAGCAGCCCTGAGGCCACGGAGGTGGCAGGGGCGGTCGAGGAGGAGGAGGAGCTGCCAAACATCTCCTGGGAGGCGTAGGTGAGGTAGAGGAAGCCGTCCTCGTCCTTGTTGTCCTGGTAGAGCTCCTGCATGGTGATGGCCATGTTGGGCAGCCCCTTGTTGTTCACCAGCAGGTAGAAGGTTTGGGAGGAGGCCAGGCAGAGCCGCGTCCTGCCAAGGGGGGAGATGATGGAGGTGAGGGTTGGGTGGACTTGATTTTGGGGATCATGCCCAACCGTAACAATTCTATTGCCCAGGGGTGAGGATTGGTTGGACTTGATGATCTTAGAGGTCTTTTCCAACCGTAACTCATCCCATCCACGTGGGCCACGGTGGTTGTGGTCCATCCCAAAGTGATCAAGCTTCAGCATCTCCTCCCTCTGGTTCCAGGCACCCATGGGTGTGAAGATGGGGTGCTAAGACACACCCAGCTGCACCCCAAAAACCTCTCTAAGGGTCAACACCCAGCCATGAGCTCCCACCTCCAGCTGAGCTGTGTTGGTCCTTAGCGAGGGGGATTTCAAGCAGAGCACAAAGGTTTCACCTCAGCTGCACCAGTGCTGCTAATCACCTACCCCCAATTAGCAAATTACCCCGTGGGAAGAAGAGCTAATTATCAGCTTTTATCCCAGCAAGGGAAAGGGAATGGTGCCATAATGGTTGGACTGGGTGATCTTCAAGGTCTTCTCCAACCAAATGACTCCATGATTCTATGATAAGGCACTGGTGAGCAAAAGCTCTTTGCTAATTGCCAAGCCTAATTGCAAAAGGCTAATTAATCACATTAGGCTAAACTAAAACCTGTGGAGCAGCCAAAGGGGCTTCCAAGCCAAGCTGCTGCCTGAGACCAGCTGGGTCTGGACTGGGTTTTTGCACTGGTCCAGGGCTGTGGACCCCCAACCTTGCCCCAAACAGGCCTTGGTCACACTGTGACCTTCATCTCTTACCTCAAGGTGACAGCAAATTGGGACAGGGGCAGGTCCTGGGACACCAGAAACTTGGTCCTGCTCAAGGGGGGCAAGGTCTTCTCCTTCTGGTAGCGCTCCACAACCACCTGCAGCCAGAGGAAGATGCTGGAGGGGGAGACGGGGACTGGGAGGCTTTGGGAACACCCAGAGAAGCAGAGCTGTGGCCTTCAGCACCAAGCCATGAAGTCTTGAGCCCTTACCGGGATCTTGTTGGGGTATTTTAGCCGGATTTCTGTCACTTCATGCATCCTGGTGGCTGTGGAAGAGAGAAGAAGGGGCAGTAAGTGCATCCCCATCACCGCGTGGTTGCTCCCCTCATCCCCAGTAACGCACCGAGGCTTTTCCTCTGCTTGAAGGGGCGAGAGCTGCTGTCTCCTGGGTACATCTTCTGGAAGGACCAGCAGGCAGGCAGAGGCACAGGCAAGATCTGAACCTTCCCATGGGCAGGGCCTGGGGGCTGAGCTCCTGATATAGGCTCAGCCCTGCCCACCTGGGCTGGGGAAGGAGGGGCTGGGATGCTCAGCTGGGTGTTGGGATGCTCAGCTGGGTGTTGGGCTCTGTTGGGGGCTGTTGGGCTCCACTGGGGGCTGTTGGGCTTCTCTGGGCTCCATTGGGTGCTCCTGGGCACTGCTGGGCTCCACTGGGGGCTGTTGGGCTTGGTTGCGTGCTCCTGGGCACTGCTGGGCTCTGTTGGGGGCTGCTGGGTGTTGCTGGGATGGATGGATGGGTGGGTGAGTGGGTGGATGGATAGAAAATGAAGAGGAAGAGAAACTGAAGAGGAAAAGACAAAAAGAAGGAAAGAGAAGAAGAAAAGATGAAGAGGAGATGAAGAAGAAAATGTGATGAAGAAGAAAAGAAGACGAAGAGAAAAAGAAAAGGAGAAGATGAGATGAGGAGAAGATGAAGAGGAGGAAGAGAAGAAGAGGAGGAAGAGAAGAAGAAGAAGAAGAGGAAGAAGAGGAGGAGGAAGAGAAGAGGAAGAAGAGGAGGAGGAAGAGAAGAGAATGGAAGAAGCTGGGAAGAATATGTTCCCACATAAAAGAAACATTTAACCACATAACCTTATCAGTTGTTTGGTTTAATATTAATCAAATTAGTCAAAAGAAAACAAAACCAAAATAAAAATTCAAGTAATTTATTTAATTGATTATACTATCCTCTTCCAATAGTAGACAAACTAGTAGTCAATAGTAGGTTGTGTGTTGCTTGTCTTATAATCACGACTAAGAGCTACTGTAGTAAACCTCAGAGTCCCAACCAGCAGCAAATGTGTTAGGCTTATACCTCTGTAACCCTCAATTTCAGCTTCACAGTCCCAAGCTTTGGGAAGAGGAGGAAGAGGAGGAGGAGGAAGAGAAGAAGAGGAAGAAGAGGAAGAATAGGAGGAAGAGGAGGAAGAGAAGAGGAGGAAGAGAAGAAAAAGAAGAAGAGGAGAAAGAACAACAACAACAACAACTGGGGTTTTCTCCTTACAGACATTCTGGGGAGCCGTGGCCATGCCCTAGCACCCAGCCTCACGCCCATGGGTGCTGTTGGGTGACTGGCACCAGAGGGAGTCGATGCTGAAGCCTGGTCCTGTCAGAACGGACCAAGGATTTCAGGTCCCTAATTTTCCCTTAATTTAACGAAGTGGATTCACCTCCCTGGGGACAGGACCCGGTGGGAGGATGGCGGCACCAGTGCCAGCCCAGCGTCCCCACCGTACTCCAGAGGTGCTTTTATTTTCTCCATGGGCTGATTTATCCCAGAGAAATCTTCATTTTGAAGCTTTTTCTCTCCCAGGGTTCATAGGAAAGGTCCTGGAAGCTGAGCGAACGATTCTGGTGATGCGGCTATGCCGTGGTAGACATTATCAATAGTTATTGTCGATATTTCTAATCAATATTTATCATCGATATTTATAATCGATAGATAGCATTTATACTTATTATTGATGTTTATTGGAAAGGTTTATTATCAATATTTGTTACAGCTATTTAGTATCAATAATTGTTACCTGTATTTATAGTCAATGTCTATTATCAATATTTATCATCAATATTTATGATCTATATTCATTACCGATATGTTCAACTTTTATTATCTACATTTATTATTGATATTTATTATCTATCTTTAT